TACCCATCTGAAAATGTCCTAGACCTGCAGGCACAGTTATGTCCACGGTGTTGGTTTTGGGCCTCATGCAGGAACATGATTAGGAGACTTCTGCTTCGGAACCGAAAAAGACTCCGACATTGAAACCCCAGAAGCTACCATGTTCCAGGGCCCCCGGATTCTCACTTTTTGGAGGCAAAGGACTGGTGGAGAACTTCTCAAAACCGGGGCTCAGGGTCCAGAAATGTTGCACCTGATGCTGGGCAGTGGGACATGCCTCGATCCCACATCGAGAATCGCGGTTTTCGTGCTTGAACTGGGCCTTCGGGTGATGATTCGAGTCTTCTTTGTGATTGTGATCATCATCTCTGTCACCCCCGAAAACTCGCGATTGAGATTAGGCTGCCGGCCTGAAGGCACTCGCACGGTCTCGTCGAACAGGTCCTCATCTGGTACATCCTCCTGGGAGTTACACTACCGTAAGCAAAAACTCTTGAAGGCACTATACAGACAAGCAAAACAGCCAAGAGGAGTCTTTGTGGCAGAATTTGTGCGGGTTGTTTCCGAACAAAACTTCCGACGCAACCGCGTTAAACTGAAAGGTCAGTACCGCTGTACTGTACAACATGCATCTTCAACACCCTGCACAACAAGGGGCTTAAAGCCAGACCCAAAATATCAAGTAGTACACACAGAAACCGCCCGTCGTAAAGACTGCTCTAAAAGTGTCCGAAGACGTTCAGACCATGCTGAGCAAACCTCGAATCGTTGCGGTTTAAGTCTGGTACTGCCGCAGGTCTTTGACTCAAAACCCGCCTTCACAGCGCTTGCATGTTCAGAGGGCTATGCACTTACGGTTTTATCCGCAGAGTTTAACCGTTAGCTGCCCATGACTTTGCTTGGGCGTCAGTCTGCAGTTGTTGCATGAGGGGCTGCAATCTCATCCCGAAACACTCTGGACTCCAATAACCATTCACTCCCTCAACCCTAAATGGGAGTTTCCGNNCCTAATATAGTACCCTAAATAAGAGGATCCTTACTATAAGGACCCCCAAACAAGGTACCCCGTATTTTCGGAAACCCCCAAATCGCCCCAGGCGCCTCCTGCTTCTCCCCAACGGGTCTTCGGTTCGGCCTTCCAGGACCTGCATGCGACGGCGTGGCAGCTACCAGGTCCCTCGGGGATGTCGCGGCATCGTATGTTTTCTGAAAAGGGAAAGACTCGGGTCCAAGCTTGTGCTCCTCCGGGCCGTGCCAAACTTCTACAGCATGCGCCGAGGATCTGGGAAAATAGAGCCTCAAGCCTCAAACAGCGAAGGTCGAAGCCATTGGCAAACCCATCATCCAAGATGCTGCTCATTGAGGTGTGTACATGTGAGTAGATGCCTACTTGTATAGCTGTATATAACACACACGCGCTGCATGCAGTGGTGCTACCTATCCATGCATGCCTGAATGAATGGATGGGTAGATGGACGGAGGGACGGATGGATAGCGGCAGACGTGTTTACACAGGGACACGTGTAGTGGAGTCCGAGATCTACAAACTTCTGACTACGCGGTTCAAGGCTCCTTTCTCTCGCTTATAAGGATTCGCGATGTAGGGAATCTAGAGTTGGTCGATATTGCAGTCCCGGAAGGGTTTAGAGGTTTCGGGATCTTTCGTTCAAGCTTTGTTGCTGATGTTTCACGGCTTTGGGCCTTGGGGTCGGGGTTTGTCCCGACCTTGCGGTAAACCGGACGGCATGGACCGCCGGCAGCTGGCCAAAGACTACAGAACCCAGGGTTTAGCAAGCAAGCCGAAGGTTCAAGCGATTTTTTATCAAGGCTGCAGGGGCTGTCAGGGCTGTCAGGGCTCAGGGCTGTTTCCAGAGGCCTATGTGAGGCCGGAGATGGGAAGTTAGGGTCCAAAATGACGTCTGAGTTGTGTGGAACAAAGTCTGCGATTCCAAAATTCGGATACAGGTGTGGGCGCGTTTGGGCTTGCGGGGCTACCACGCGTGCTCGAGGCTGGCTGCTTCGTTGAACATTCGGCACATGCACCCTTCAGCTGTGAGCCTCGCGTAAAAACCGGCATTGGGAGTTTGATGCTTTCAACGCACATGCAGTTTCAGGTAGTACAACCAGCTTATCGTCCTTGTGTCCCACTCATCAAGCATGATCACGCAAGGTTCAACTTAAGGTACATATGACTGTGCTTGTGGCAACTTCATCCGAAACACTTAACATGCGAAGTTGACCCCGGAGACTTCAGGCAGCAGGCTGTAGATGGGTATCGTGAGCACTTCAATAGTGCTTGATGATGTGAGCTGTGAGAGCGACAGCACGTTGTCTAGGCCTCATGAAGAACGCTTGTCTTTAGACCCTAGTAGACCTTACGAATTGGGGGTTCGGAGAATCCGTGCATCACAACTGTCCGGGATCAACGAGACGAGGTACCCGCGAGAATCTTAACTGGCTTTTCACCCTCAGGACTCTGAGCCAAAGACATTCTGACAAATCTTCAAGCCCTCTTTAAGAACATAAGCCCAAGGTTTCACAGCTTGTACCAACCAACCAGCCAACCTAGTCCAACAATCCCAAACATTCACCTCAACACCCCGCAGAAAGCAGCAGGGCCGAGTGCAAGGCCATTCTGCGGCACGCGATGCGAGCGTCTGGGGAGGAGTTTAAGTTTAGGTTTCTTGCGTTAAGGTCCAGGGCCTTGCATGGGGTGGTCCTGCCCTTCGCCTCGACTGGCCCAATGCTGAGCCCTTGTTCACGTGCGTGGAGCACGGAGAGTTGGGTGTTTTGGGTGTTCTGAATCATAGGGGGCCAGTATGGGCAGGGTATCCTTGATAACCACCGCACCCTCCGCAGGCCTTTGAAGGTTCAGGGGCTCGGAGCACTGTTACGCATCGGATTTAGCCCTCCCTCTTTGAGTCACGCAAGAATTGCTTGCGAAAGGCCGTATTGATGGGCAGCCCAGGGATCAGCAAGGGGATGCTGGGGGTTTTAGCTTTGAAGCTGAAGGTTTCAAGGTGTAGTTGCAGGCTTGGCTTGTGAAGCTTCTTGGGGTTGATTGGACATGGGTTGCCAGCACACCTCGAGGCATCCTGACCAAAACACCTACATCCAAACCATCGACGACAGGACCAATGGAAGAGCAAGAGCACACACACACACATATATATATATATATATGTATATATTATACACATTTATATCTATATACGTATACAAACTAATTAGTCAAACAAAAAGTATTTCTCTGTGTCTCTGTGAACTACAGGAAACAGAAAGCACGTAACTGCACAGATGCTACCCTGCAGCGACAAGCCCAACACGACAAAAACCGAAGCCGAGAACCCAAAGGCTGCAGTGCCCGAAGATCTTCATGCCATGCGCTTTCTTATAATGACTTGCTTTGGGGGTCTAGCGGTCAGGGGTCTACTATGTGGTAGGGATTTAGAGGGCCTTGGCATTGAATCGTCGGGCGGGGTCGGCGAAAGCAAAGTTCAATGTTAAGGAACCCGAAACCCTAAACCCTAAACCCTAAACCCTAAGCTTACGACTCAGAGCTCCAAGCTTCGAATGCAGACGGGCCAATGGACGTGCCCTGCTTGTATACACAACGGATGCGGGTAGTTTTCTAAATTAGGGTCCCTTTCGGGGGTCCTTTTTATAAGGGTGCCGTACTATATTGGGGACCTAAAAAAGGGACTCTAATTTAGAGAACTACCCATGTGCATAAGTGCTGGATCGTTCTTGCAGCCACAGAGCTGCAAGGAGTCCTAAAACCTGCGCACGCCACGAGGCTGCGAGCCCAGCCCCAAGTCACAATCTGCTTCCCCAAACCTCCGAAGCCCCATGGATCCTAACTGAAGCCCAAGGGTGTAAATCCTCAACCCCCAAAATCAAAAGCCCTAGAACCGCTCTGCTGAGCTTCCCAGCAGACATAGAGCAAGACCGGCGTCATCTAGGAACCCATGGGTTACATCGTGACCGAACCTGGGACAGGCTGAGACATGGGTTGCGGATTCTGGGCTCTATTGGCTTATAGGGTTCGGTCTACTTGTTCTGGATAGCAGCGGCGCCGCTTTAAATAGCCTTCTTTGGGCTGTGGGATGCATGAAAGCGTTTCGGATATACGGCTTCGGGAATTGGAGCCAGAGACTCCGGGCTTCAGGACTGTCCCTACACGGTCAGAAAAGAGGGGTCTTAATTACTAAAATAGAACTGTGGTCTCTCTATGTGTGTGTGTGTGTGTAAGAGTGTAAGTATATCAAACAACCTGAAGGAATTGTATGTGTTGGTACCTTTCAAGCCCCCATATTAAATTACCATACCGGTCTGAGGGTACCCACTTTCTTAGCTAGAGGATGCAAAAGCCGTGCATGAGTTATGTACCCTGAAGGTCCTTGGGTATGGTAGGGTTGCAGGGTTCCAGGGTGGAGGATCTCGGAATCTACATGTGGCATATGGCTCCTGGAGTTCGCCTCCGGGTCGAGGAAGCATGCGGCAATTGAGGAATGCCTACAGTAAGCAAACATGCCTTGGACCCTGAGGAACTACATTGATATTGCCCCTGAAAAGGCATCTTCTTGCTGACCAGCAAATCGGAAATTCTCCTTGATCAGCAACTGTCTTAAGTCCCTGGCCTGCAAGGTCTCCCATCCCGACGCTCGAATGCCCCTGTGCCCTGAACCCTGACCCCTAAACACCCTAAACCCTAAGTTCGAACAACCCGGACCCGAACCCTCCAGCCGAATGCCCGGCATCCCTCACTACCCTTTGTGAGGCCCCACAGCTATTTCCCCAGAAATCCAATATTGCCCTGACCCACAGCTGTTTAGGGCTTCAGCTTTGGAGCTTAGGGTTTCACCGTTTAGGATTTCACGGCTTAGGCTGCTCGGAAGGAACTCCAAACCCTGCTGTTACTGCCACAAGCACGGCTCCTTTTTTTGAGGACTTCTGCGAAGGTGTGACGGCAGGTCGCATGTCTCAGCAACCAGGAGCAAGTTTGATCAAGGCTCAATCTAGTGTTTACCATGGCTAGTGTCAATTTGAGATGAGGATTCCTAGGATAAAGACCTCTATTCCTCTCATCTGCTTAACAACTGGGCGCTTTTGGCCCTGAAATCCGTTTGCCTAAACCCCTTTTCCCTCAACCCCGAAGTCTTTGCCTATCTTTCCCGGGGGCTATCACTTATGGGAGGGGCCCGTTGATGCCAATCGGCACAGGCCCTACTTCACCTCTAACCTCGACATCCATGCAAAACCGTAACTCTGGCGGAGGAAATCTAAAATGTCAGACTCAGACTCGATCCGGTACGTTGTAAGAGTGGAAACTCGGACTACTGTCCTAGAGCGCATAGAGCCGACCGTTTCGGGTATACTTGGGACCGAAGGTGGTCTTCGGGGAACCGGACCTGTCAGGTTCCTGGGAGCATCGGTTTCTGGAAGCTCTGGCATTCGCCAAAGCAGAAAAAGGGCAACAGCAAAGCTCCTGCTTCGAGGAGAAGCTTGCCGGGCCAGGATAGAAGATTGTAGACGAACTTCATGCTTTCTACTCCTATAGCGGGGCATGGACCTTGTGCTGTACTTCGGTACACTCCGAGGACTACTCCCATGTATAATAATGCCGGGTCTCTAGGACGATTAAACATTGCCGACGCCCCACCACTAAACCATGGCGAGAGCTTTCTGCATGCAATGCGCATAGAAGCAACCGCCGTCTGACTGATGCTTACTCACTCTTCATGGAAGAGGTTTCCGCATGGTGTCGGCGTAGACGTGCCCCATGATGCAGAAAGTGCAGGGGCAGATCATACATCCTTGACTCCAGGGGCGAAGCCGCAAGAAAAGGACCCAAGCAGAATTGCTAACATCAGGTTCTGGGGCACACTAGACGATAGCCAGCCAAGAATGGTAAAGACACGCCGCCATTGAATGTCGATGTCCCTGTATCAAACACATGATTCCCAACCAGGCAACCTGAAGGTCATGCACAGGGTAGCACAAGTCAGAATCAAACCGAAACCTCTTTGTTTACTTCCAACCTGCAAGTAGGGTCCTGAAGCCTTATACATGTTTATATACTTACCCTAAGGCCTGTACGTCCAAAGTACGAAAGCCCCAAACCATAGCCTCGAGTAAGCCAGCTATCTCGAGCTAGAGTCCTAGAGCTTCGGGTCGCTGGCCGAAGGATCACGGAAGGTTTCAGATTTTCGGGTCTGTGGGAGCCAGGATTACGGGGACGCTTGCAAACAGGTCCGTTCCAAAAGAGCCACAAGTAGGGTTAAGAAGGGTCCCCTTTAATATAAGGGGTCTCCCTAGTACTACCTACGAGTCTGTGGATTTAAGACTTCGGGTTTGCGAGTGTTTGAGGGCTTGCGGCATCTGACTTCGGCTGGAGGCTCGATGTTCCAAGCAGTCTTCGCAGGTATGCGTCGAGCTTTAAGAGAACGTTCAGCCCCCCTCTCCAAACATCTTAACCCCAAACCCTAGATACAAAACAATGCACTCCCGCTGTGTCTAGTGTATTGATTCAATATACATACTACTTCCGAGCCCTGCTGGGATTGCATCAAAGGCTCTTCCGCATGCAGTGGTCTCCTGGACGTATCCATGCTTCTCGTAGAGATTCTTGGCGGGGTTGCCGCTAACGACCTGACGCAGACGGGTGGGATTCGTTCAGGGCGTCGGGCATTTCTGGTTTTAGGGTGCGCACGGCTGAGGCTTGGACTGTACGACTGGAGCGCTGCT